TTATTCCACACAGTACAATTATTTGGAACTTCAGAGTAAATTTAACTGTATATATAACATGCAATTCAACCATCCTAGATAGTATTTCTTATTAACTTGGAAAAACTACATTATACATATGAAACAAAATGCAGACATAATCATCAAGCTAGCATCAAAAACATATGCTTCGTGTAAAGACCATACAGCCTCTACATCTCCATGGTGTCATATTTGAAACATCTCTCACTTTCTAACAGCAGTAATCATAACAGTTAACATTTAAGACTTAAATCACTTTACTGTCAAAACAAAATATATGTTGAACTAGAAAAAAGTATGCCCCATAATATGTTAGCCACCTGGTTTATGAACTATTAACAGAATAAAATAATAATCAGCCAGGTTTATCAAAATAGGGTGCAACTCCGATAGTAGATGAATAGCCATTTATCAGTTAGGCTGTATAAATCTAGAGCTAAATGTAGATAAAGAACTGTATGCTTCAGAGACATCATTTGTGAATTACTGTTCATTTATGCTATAATGAGTTGAGGAATATAGTAGACCCCATTGTGAACTTCTGTATAGGACTTCATGTAGTGTGCATGGTATAGGTTTTTAGCTCCATCTTCATCCATTTTCTGCATTCATTAAATTTTCTATGGGTTGATCAGAAGTGAATATTTCATGTTAAAAAAAAAAAAAAAATCCAAGGATTGAAAAATAAATTAATTAATAAAAGTAGAAAATCTCTCCAGTGGTGAAAAATGGTCCATAGATATAACTTGTAATTTTTGGCAAGAAAAAATATACTAGTATATTAATTTTAATGGGGTTTAAGCAATTTTCAAGTACTTTGTAGCCATCACAATATGAAGTAACTGTTCCAAATCCAGAATCACCATTTAAACTCATTACTTAATAAAACTTTATCTTCAATTGGCTATTGGTGACTTATTATTACATGCAATCCTTGCATCTTTGAACGGGTGTAATACTAGTTATTCCATTGTCTCTCAAAAGTATTTCAAAAGCCTTTGGATTATAAGAAAATTTATGGCCATTACCAAGAAAATGGAAAGACTTCAGATCATAACTTTAAAAATCCCATCTGTGTTCTGTTCACCTTTAAAAAACATCTAATAAATGAATATATATATACTGTATATTAATTAAATATTGCTCACTGACCTCTGTCTCCTCACAAAATATCCAATGGTCTTTCATAAACAATACAGAATATCCCTTAGATATTTAAAATATCTTGCTGAAGACAATTTTAGTCGATTGTCTGCTCATCACACCAACTTCCCCATGAATCAATACCCAGTAATGGCTTGAAACTTTCCGCAAGTCCCTTAGCAATTTTTGCTTTTCATAATATTCAAACCACCATTCCATCATCTGTGGTTATGTTGGAATGTGAAATGGGTTGAATAATGGAAAGTGCAGAGAACTTCACATCTAGATTTTATTTTCTTGTTTTCATTCCTTTTTCTTTCCTTCATTATTTCTATTCTATTTATTACTA